AAATATAAGATATCCCCTGAGATCCCCCTTATTCCACGCCCTGAAGATTCATCCCTTCCTAAAACCATTTTTCAGTGTTTCTCAAAGAATTGTCTGCCATTACCTTTTTTCCGGGGAGAGTTGGTCCCACTTTAGGTGGAACTTGCGTGGATAACCAAAGTTATGAACTAGCAGGGTTCCAAAGGCTGTGAAAGGTTGAAGACCCCTGCTCCAGGCTATACACTTCAATTTCTCTCCTCGAGGCATATCTTAAATACATTCTAACAATAAGCTAAAAATCCTAGGTTCAGAAATAGCCTTTTGCTACACCCGTGTCGTAAGATGTTGCCTTAACACGATATTACTAAAAACATATACATGTTCAAAGTCACGATGAAATAAATAATCCTTTGCAATAATCAAACTTGCTTCTTATCTAGGAACAGTACAAATTCGTGTACGACACGTTAGAGGAGTTCGTGGTGTGCGGCACCTCGTGGTTTCCGGTCTCGGAGTTGTCGCAACGCCTGAAACAGAAGAGCGTAAAGGATCCAATAACCAAGATGAATGAATATCAGCGGGAGTATCAGCAAATTTGTAAGCAAACGCCGCGTTTTACGATCGGAGATTGCGCCGGAGGCCATCGAGCCGATAACAGGGAAAAGAACAGGGATGTTCTTGTAGTGCCACGTAAGTTTCCGCCGATGGAATCACGTATGAATGTTTCCCCGATAAAAAGAAGAAGAACGGGGGAAAAAAAGATAAAACAAAGTGGGGCATTCTCCGTACCTTGTGAAAATTGCATTTCAAAAGCATGCGGACACTGTGATAAACGGACCGTATATTTCATTCCTATCGATATTTCTTCTTTTTTTTTTCGAAATTATACGAGGGATTTTTTACAGAATCCTGTACATTGTTCTGCTCTTAAATTTCGTTTTTTTTTTTCTTTTCGCGTAGAATTTATCTTTTGTCACTACTGTGCGAAGCTTACGATATTTTTGTTTGATGTAAATGTCACGGAAACGTGTAAATACATTGTTACACCACGACACGACAGTCTGTAAACGTCCCTCGTACAATATTGTATTTGATATTTTATGTGTGTAAATAATGGGTATTTTATTTGTCGAAGTATCGATCATACATTTAACTCGTGAAATTATATTTCTCGGTTTAGCTGACAACTTTCGACCATACCTCACCAGCTTCCAGGGTAACAGTTACACTGACTATATAAACGCTGTCTTTGTGGACGTAAGTTTGCTGTTTATGCTCGTCTCGTGTCGATGTTATTTCTTTCTTCGATAACTGTACTATTTTTCTTCCAATTAACAAAATATACATTGGGCAAATATAATTATGTGCTGTTTTTTTAGGAACTATTGGAGGTAGTCAAAATTTCCACCCTTCGATAGTGTCACAGGATAATCAAAATGTAAACCCCTTTCCCTTCGTTAATATTCTCCAATGAATAAACACAGCTTGCTAATTCCCAAACTGCCTAAGTGTATCCATGAAAGAACACGTAGTATCTTATCTACCTCATCGTGTATCAGGTATGAGGTTTCGTCAAAAAATACCTGAACTAGCGTCTTAAAAGTTATTCTAAATGAAAATTACCATTGCTGTTTATACGTCGGAAAAGACTCTTTTCAGATACTTTTAGAAATAGCTTTCAGATCGGTCTCTGGAATTGTTTAAAAAGTGCGTCATTTTAACGCTCTCTTCAAATTTCAAAAGCAGAAAATAAGTCACGTAAAGCCAAGTGAAGCATGTATATTGGCTAAGAAATAAACGTAACTGCTTTTCGCTAAAAATTGAATCTATATTTCTGTAGGTTCCGTTTTAAAAATCACAGAGGTAAAGAAAATCGAGTTACAAAAACCGCTGTAAATCTCTAAAGAAATGATTTTTTCAATACAAACTGAACGCCAGTTAAATTGCCAATGGTAACCAGCCGTCATAGTTGCAACGTCAGTTTTTCTCTCTACTTGCGAGATACCGAGTTACACGCACAGTTCTGGTAATTTTCTTGTCAAACCTCGTACAAACTTCCTCCATCTTTAGAAAGTTTGATCAAAGTCAGATAGTTGTCAATAAATTCCACGAAGAAATCATCAATGAAAAAGACTCCCCTTCATCTCTAATGGTTTCCACAAAAACAGCTGACCCATTTGTACATAAAAGAACGATCTTCTCTCCTACAGTTTTTATCGCAAATTACTCGTCACCCTCTTTCGGTCCACCCTTCTGTCATTACTTATGTTCCTTACGAACTCGCCGGCGCGGCGCGGAGATGTTCGCTTCTTTGCTAAACGAGCATTCTCGACAGGGTTACACGAAGCCCAGGGAATACATCGTAACCGAATGGCCACTTCGACACACGTGTGGTGAGTTTTGGTCCCTGGTTTACGACTACGAGTGCGCCGCCGTGGTGGTGCTGTGTGTGCCTCCACCAGGTTGTTCTCGACAGGGTTACACGAAGCCCAGGGAATACATCGTAACCGAATGGCCACTTCGACACACGTGTGGTGAGTTCTGGTCCCTGGTTTACGACTACGAGTGCGCCGCCGTGGTGGTGCTGTGTGTGCCTCCACCAGGTTCCACCAACTTCCCAAGCTTTTGGCCGGAGGGAAAACACTCGAAGAAATACGGTCCTGTATTTACGATTGATCACATCAGCCACAATCACTATACGAACATCAAGACCTGGGTGAGAAGCTTCACTTACTTTGACCTACTTTCCGAGTTCCTTCCTTAGGGTTTATGAGCTGGTCTCGAAACGTGCCGGTTTTTAAGACTACGAAGGATTAGTGGCGTACCTATGCACTGAGGAGGAAATTGAAGTTCGTCATTTGGAATGTTTAGAGTTTCATTTCGTATGGACCATAGAGTGGGAAAAGAGTGGAAAGGAGAATTGAAGAGTGGATGTAAATAAAACTATAAGTGACATTGCATTTTTACCTTGTTTTTTATTAAATAACAAGACTTTGAGGTATTGGAATAAAAATATTGTTAGATTGTATAAAGTAACGTGGTTTTATATATTTTGCTAATAAATAGCATTTTGGTAGGTAAAACTTCGTTATTGAAACTTGCAGACACTGTTACGCCCAGTCTTCAATTAATAATCTTTTGCTTAAAGTTTGTAATTTAAAAATCTAAAAATTTGGAAATTCTTTAGACGGAGGATTTTGTTTCGTAATTAGTAATTGGTGTGGATTTGATAAAATTTGTGATTTGATTCTGATTTTAACAGAAGAGTATAAGAAGAGATTCTGACAGAATGGTGGAACGTTGTTCTCGTTAAGTTTGACTTGTGAAAGTTTAGTTTAATAATTATGTATAAATTTAGTAAGATAAAACATTATGTTTGTTGTTTGGAAAGTTTGAAAAGTTTAACTTTGATCATTCTAGAAAGTCTTTAGTAAGGCTGCATCAGAAAATTGAATACCTTTTTCAAAAAGTAGCAGAAATTGTTAGAAAAATTTACATTGACTAGTTGCTCGCAATAAATCTTTAAGGAAGGATCAATTTATTCCAAACTAAAATTAAATTAAATTAAATTAAAGCTAGTATTAGAGTTGAAATGCAAATTTATACACAATAATATACAATTGATACACGTCAACTATAATCTGAGCCACGAGTTTGTGTTCACTTTTCACATCTTTATCCTCAAACCTCCGTTACAAGAAGAATTCCGCAAAATAATATCACCTATTCCTACAGATTTTTAGGATAAATAAGAAGATTGTGTCGCTGACCGAGCTTATGGCAGGAGTGAAAGCTCCACCGAAGACCGTTCAACTGTTCCAGCTGACCTGTTGGCCAATGGGTCACAAGGTCCCGACGTCGACGAACAGTCTGGTCGAGTTGATGAATATGGTTGAAAGGTGGAGGCAACGAACGGATTATGGGCCGGTCGCTGTGGTCTCCCCAGATGGTAGAAGTCGTTGTGGCGTGTATTGTGCCGCAAACGCGTGCATAGAACAGGTCATTCAGCACGGGGAAGTGGACATTTTCCAGGCAGTTAAAACCGTACGCAGGCACAGGCCTCAGCTCGTTGAGAACATGGTAAGTGCTCGTAAACAGCGGAAGTTGTTAGTCATATTGTCGTTGGTACTACTTTCAGATTTTAACGACGATGTCTTTAGTTCTTCATGTTGTTTGCAATTAGTACGATAGGGTAGCTAATTAATTAGATAAACATTGTTTGTCTTGTATGAATTTTTGTTTAATTTAATGTTACGTTTATCAGTGGTTAAAGTGAGATTGGTAAAAAGATCTGTTTGAATTTTTATGAATAGATTCTGTTTTATTGAAATTGCTATTCATAGTTTCAAACTAACATTGATCAGTTCGAAGATTTGTTTCAAGTGCAGTATTGTCGCGTTAGCTGACTGTCGCTATTCCCGCCAGTTCTTGAAACTGGCTTTGTAGAGTGAGTTTTTGGCTTTACGTACCTAAAATAAACGTAACCGAGACCCGTTATCGATGATACACAATGCACCTATGTATCAAAAATTAAACATAATTTCTAATTGTAGAATTATTTGGACCAAAAGATTTACAATAAAAATAAGACCAAATATTATGATATTTCAATAAATGTTGTAATTAATATAAGGGATACAAAATAAATTTATCAATGTATAATAAAAACAAAATAAAAATATAATACAATAACAACAGCAAAAACGCAAACAATATTATCTTTCTTCTTTTCTATTATAATAATCTATTATTGCTTTTGCATGAGCTTCAATTTCTGGTTCGATTTTACTCAACTTTTCTAAATTATACAGTACACGGTCGACTTCCTCTTCTTCTATTTGAAAAGGAGGTGGTGAGCTATTTTCTCCTTTAATTGTTGCTTCCTCGTGAATTAATTCTTCTTGTTCACATTTGGAAATCCACTCTGTCACCTCTTCGGCAGACATCGTTCCGAAAGGTTGTGCTGTAATTTGTTCACTGACAGTTAGTGTGGCATTCTCACTGGTTATGGTGTCATTAGATGGAAGCCGACCACTGAGAAGTTTCGTCCAGGAACGATAAATACTTCGCGGCGTAATCTCATTCCATGTTTCACTGATTAAATTGATACAGTCCTTGATATCGTAATCGGCATAAAACTGTGTAACTCCTTCGTCATATTGGAGTACCTGTAGGAAATGAATATGTATGACAGAGCGAAAACGAAGACAAAATACTGTAGGGATTATTTGGTCGTGCGTTACGAAAAGTAGAGTGTTTCATTTGTCTTACGAAGAGCAGTGCGTGCTAGTGTGCCACATAAAGAAGCATATTTCATCGTTTCATACGAATGTTAGCATGTTTGGTCCTCCGCCACGAAAACTAATACATTGTACTGTTCCGCCACGAAAAATAGCACATTTTGGACTTTACGGCGAGGACTAACACATTTCAGTGTATGATCAGTTTAAATTGTTAAAATGCATTTTGCATCGAAAAATTTAACGTTTGAAAATATTGTTTAATAAAGAATAACTCCATCTCATCTCCAAAACGAAAAACTCTGATGCACTCGAAAAGCGAACAAACCGAAGAGAAATAACAGCCGGTAATTCCCAGAACACCTACCTCCCTCGATAACAGTCGTGACACGGACCTGAGCTCTGCGTCAATTAAGCGGGGAATACTGTATATTATGATTACAGTAGAACATGATTCTTTGTTCGGGTCTTTCGTTCGGTCTATCGTTTAATCACACCTTGATTGATTCAGTGTGAAATACTAAGAACTAGTTTTATTTGCAACAGAGTGATACTTGAGGTGATGTCGCCACGAGACTATCAAAGTACTAATTTTCGTAAGACCAACTGCTAAGACTTCCAAAAAGGACGCGCTTCTGCCTCGTTTCCTTAGTTTTATCCGCTCGGCCAGTTGCTGATTGGTGGCCGATTTCTTCTGGGGGTTGTAGGTGCTGACTCCTCATTGGAGGAGGTTGTTTAGGTGGGACGCAGTTCCTTCCAATGGAAGGGGATTGTTGCTTAACATAAGAAAACCCCCCTTTTTGGGTTGTTGACTTTCCACCGCGCATGTGACCTCTCCACGGGGGGTACGGTACACGCGAGAGGACCGGTACCTCGGTCTGGCGGCCAAGTGTAATTGCACATGTTTATGATGATAATCCACCAGACCGAGGGTTCGTCGCGATTTCTTGCGAGGCAACATTCTTATTAGATCAGATTTGATCATATTTGACTTACATGATAAAAAAAGAAAGTCAAATCTTGTCGGTTGCTGCGGTATAAAGCATGCTTTTTTCGTAGCTAATTCAAATGTGCTTTTCGTCACTACAACCTGAACATGCTACTTTTTGTGACAAATTACTCGAACCTGTTAATTTTCGCAGCAAAAGACGAAACGTACTATTCTTCGTAGCCAACCATTCAAATTTACTACTTTTCGCGACGAAAAACGAAACGTGATATTTTTCGCGACAAACGTGTTGTTTTTCGTAAGACAAATGAAACGTGCTACTTCTCGTAACTCACGTCGATTTAAGGAAATCCCACATGAGTGGGTTAGATACGCATGAGTGATTCCAACAAAAATGTTTATTACAAAAATGAATAAGTATATTCGCACAACACTCGCAATACTCAAAAAGCTGCACTCACGTTCGACTCTGGCTACGGACTGTTCTTTCACTGCTCTGAGCACGCATATTCCACACCCTATAATCCTTGCACCCTGACACTCTGTCTCGATTATTCTATTTTTCTCACTCATTTCAGACATTCTTAGATAGTATTTCGTCAGGTCCACCCGAATTATTGCGTGGCCACGCACTTTTCATTCCTATAGTAATCTCAAGTACTCGGCCCTATCGTCGAATCATTTAGACGGTGTGGATGAGAGAATAAAGTTTATTTTAATTATTCTGGATACCAGTTTCGTTGAACGCGGTTATAACGTCTCCTACTGACTGTAAGATAGCAAGTATTTTTCTACCCTTTTTGAGGCTGTGTTTATACCAGGTTTTGGGGGTTGTGGAAAGGAGAAAATCCGGAATGCATTCGTTGGGGAAAAGTC